CCCCCCCCAAAAACAGTCCTTTCTGAATGAGAACACGATGTTATACTTTCCCCTTCTTCTCCTACTCTATGAAGAGTTCAAGAAATGCAAATCTTCCTTACACTGGCCAAAAAAACCCCAACAACAAAAACAACCTCGCCTACCACCACAGAACAACTTATAATAAAAGGCTATAGACAACACTTTTGTAGTGCCTCTTGTACAGTACATGCAAACTACTTTTCCCCTTTTCCACATTTGGCTGAGGCCAATTAAGTCGTTTCATATCCATGCCGCCTGAGCTATTGCGTGGCCTTTTTCTTTTTAAAATTCAAAAATAGGGGAAAAAAAACTTTAGTATGGCTAAACCTGACTTCACGTGCTGCCACAACAGCCTGTAAGCTGCTGAAGACTCGTCAACTCTTTCAAGACACCTGTGTGGCTTAATAAGGCTACACAGGATCCTCATTATCCTGAAGCTCATGGCCTTCACCTTGTGTAAGCAGTACTGGCTTTCCCATCAAAGATGAATTGGAAATAACCACATACTTACATTTGCTTGAGGACCTGGATGTGTTGTGGCCTCTCACCCCCTGCTTTCTCTGTCCCTATGCTCCTGGCTTTTGGGCTAGTAGGGCTTGCAGGGTCCCTTTGTGTTACAAGTAGAATAACAACTTTGTCCATGAACCTGTAGCACTGAATTACTGATCATGCCCCAGATCAAGGAGCTTTCTGCCACAGGTACGTCCTACTGTTTTGCCATTGATGCTGATTTGAAAGAAGAGGAGCTGTTTTGGAAAAGTACAAGGAAATGTTTGATTCCCACCCCCCCGCATTAATAAATACATCGTATACTTATCATCTTAGAAGCAACAGTAAGACAGTCCCATTGAGGCCTTAAAAATTGCATTTAGACTCTGAAAAATCGTCTTTTCTTCACACCTTGACTTTTGCTGTGCGAGGCTCTCGCCACCCAACCACTACCCTATCGGAGGACAGTTTTATCCTTTCATCTTAGTGCTCACAGGCTTCAGGGGACAGATTAAAGTAATAGACGTGAGGCAGAGCAGCAGCAAGACTTTCTGGCAACGTGGGAGCACACGTGTGCATGGGTGTGAGCAGGGGCCAGGAGCACTCGCCTGCTTCAGCAGCGAGAGGTTTCTGCAGTGTACTGTCAAAGCACTGCTAACATAACTAACAGGAACGGCTGCCTTTTGTTCAAACCAGGAGGAAACTGTAGGTACAATTCTTCCATGTGCTAGCCTGTAAGTCATGTATTTTCTTTTTCTTTGTGTCTTTCTTCACCCTACCCCCACCCCGCCCAAAAAAAATAATATGTCCACTTTCTTGTAATGACTCTGTATCAAATACATATATCCACACATACATATATGTGTGTATGTGTGGACATGCATATATGCAAACACACACACAGAGACACACTCTATCCAAGACATTAGTTACAAAAAAAAAAAAAATTGTTTAGCCTGTATTAATTGTGCATGCAATTAATGAAAAAGCTGAAATTCCTTTTTTTTTTCCTCCCCCCTTTTGTTGCCTTTTGAGAAAGGAGTAAGAATTATTAATAAAGATCAAAAACTTATTTCTATGTCAATCATCTTGTGGTGTGTCAGCTGTCACTTAGGCCACTTTCCCAGTCACTTGCCTTGATGTAACTTCATATGTCCAAATACTGGTGCTGGCCTTATTGTAGTCTTTAATGGCTGAATGTCAAAGATCTCCAACAGGTTTTCTATATGTTCCTCCATCTAATTGCCAGAAGTCAGTCCTGCATCTTTGATTACCAAAAAGAGCAATAAGAAAAGATTATTGATTGCTTTTAGCTTTTCTATAAATGGGAAACACAAAACCATAACTATACCTGTTTCTCTCTGTCTCGCTTGCTCTCTACGGGTGTTCTCGCTAGCTATCGTTACATATGGAATGATCTGTGGTGGGAGAGAGCATGAGTATATTCAGATCTTGTCCAGTTGGCAGCATGATATTTTTTGGGTGTGACAGTTAAACTGGACAGACACACAAAAACCTTAGCTATGTAGGCATGTTGTATTTGATTCATTAGTATGTTTTATCCAGTGAATGCTCACTTCTGAAGGAAGGACACTCAGAAATGGCACTTTATATGATAAAGTATAAGATAAAATGTTCTATGCCCCTGCATTAAACACTGTTTTTTCTAAGGGGGGAAAAAAAAAAAATCACATGTGCTTGGTGAAGTTGAACACAAATTTCAAAAATTCTCCTGTACTCAGGACCAGCTTTTTTCACTCTGGGTATACTATGAATGCAGTTCATAAATGAAAAAGGAGCACTGACTTCAAAGTAAAGGCTTAACATGACCCAACACAGAAACTGGATGTAGGTTATAAAGTGGCACTAGCTGAAGCAGCATAGATGATTGGAAGAACTCACCAGAATCATCTTCTGTTTTGGGACTGTGAAATGGGTTAAACATGGTCTAAATAATAATGAAAAACTGCTTAAATTGCTTTGTTACTTTGTAGGAGAGTGAAATATTTTAAACAACCCAATTTTACAGATACTGTATTAACAATTCTTGTTATTGTCTTTAAATAACTATTCTACAAAATGTAACAACAAAGTAGTCACAGTCCAAGAAGTCACTCCAGAATAAAGCCTATTAGGTGTTAGTATGGTTATATTTGTACTGCAGCCAGTGGACAAACATTAAAGCTGAGAAAGTTTAGCTTAAATGTTGGATTATATAGTGGACATCATTGTTTTCACAGTAAATTCATCTGCTTTGTATTTGTTTGATTCACTGATATTTCTCTAATGATAAAAGTACCACAGTATGTTTTATTGTGGCTTTTACAATTCTGCAAAATTACAAAGCCTAAAGTTAACTTGCACAATGAAAATCTGCCTTTCCTGTTGACGGGGTCCTATGTTTTTTGTTTTAATCCTTATTAGCACAGCCTTTTTTTTTTTTTTTTTCTTCACACAGTTGTGTCAGATGTTGCTAATTTGAGATAGAGTTACTAAATCAGTTAAAACATCAAATGCTTGGGTGGCTAGATACTGCAGCACAGATATGAAACATCACATTTTTGTCTGATGGCTATAAAGCTTGCTGGCAACTTTGTGAAACTGCTGACACAAAAGGCACCCATCAAAGGCCTTTTGTAAGTTATCATAGTAAATACATTCATTATTTTTATTTTGATTTGGTTATTACTGTACTTTTACGTGTAGTCTCCCAGCAAAATGAAAATAAATTAAAGAAAAAAAGAAAGGAAAAAAAAAAAAGCAACTGCTAAAATAAGATGTTGCTTGGTGCAGGAATTAACTGAGAACAGCAAGTTGTGAGATTATAGAGCTAAGGCTAAACCAGTTTTTATCCTGAACTGAACTCATCAAAAGGCGATTCAGTGTGTCTTTTACCAAGGTATGAGCTATCACCAAAGTGCAAAGATCTGGAGCTAAACCTCTATACGTATCAGGAAGAATTTGAACCAAATAAGCAAGACTGATGCAAGGCCATCAGCACTTTTGAAGTAAGGAACCAACAAAATATGGTAGATGAGAAGGCTTAAAACTTACTTATGATTTCATGCACTATTTATGCACTCTGCATTAAAGCACTGTAATACATGGCAAAAGAAGAGGAATTGCCAAGCTTGCTTTCCTGGAGTTAGCAACAGTTGATGGCTAATGGGAAGCAGTGTGGAATTGCCAGATTTGCCATTTATAGCAAGTGCTGCCTAGGAGCAGCATGGCCCTCGGTTTAGGGTAGTGATGCTCACTATGCTAGTGTCGTAGAAAGTTATCGAGGATGCTGGACTTCTCTCTCTCTGTGTGTGTGGTGGGGTGGGGGTGCGGGGTGTGTGTGGGGGTGGTTGGACCTTAACATAACTGGCAATTAAGATGATCTATATATGGTAATAAAACAAAGAATATTTCAGAAGAATGTTACATGTACAAAAATATGACTTTCAACTTTGAAAATAAATAAGTTCAGTTTATTAAGAGCTGGTGTCAATGCTGAACAAAATACACATCCTCCAGTAAAGAAACATTTTGGTGAACTGTTCTCT